TGCGTAATGGCATTGCGTCTATTTACATGAGAGCTGAGATAAATGCACCGTCGGTCTCTCACTTGAGCATTTGTTCTTCTTCACATCATCTTTTACCACTTAGAGTGTCTAGTGAGATATAAGGTTCTGCTTTTTGTTTTCTGACCGCGCCTCATCCATAAATACATTATGCCGTTGTAGCTTCTGTGGTGTTTTCTTTCCATCTTTTTGGACTAACTACGTTCTCCTTCTATTTTAATGTGTGCCCTGTATGATATGTCGGCTCTGTGGCTAAGTCGATGAGAACGTTTCGTAATGCCGGGATGCCGGGTTCGATTACAGCGGCGGGCCATGCGCCTTGCGTTGGTTTCGACAGTGGTAGCAAGAAAGCCGACCGTCCAGTAAGCAATGGCAAACTACTGGACGTAAATTTGCGGCTGTTGGGGTTGGTTCTGCAACGTCCTGTAAAAGATAGGCAACTAACCTGAACCTGTGTGATATGGTGTCACAAGGCGTTATCCTAGAATCTTAGACCGTGTTTACCCCAAAATAACCCCAAGCATGATGCTGGCAACTTCACAGTAGCCACAAAACCAACCAGCCATGGACAAGTCTAAGAGAAAGTATGAAGTAATGTCTAACACCACACCCCCCCCCCCTCCCCCTTTCCTCCCCCGAACAACAACCAAATAGATGCCGCTATTAACCGTCAGATCTGCTCCTTTCCTTGTGGATTTTGGTGCTGTATTGTGAGGACACAAGAATAGATCAATTGTCCCTTTACAAGCTTATTATAAAGGGCAACTCGTTAGAAGTTAGCCGAAATTGCATGTGTTGGGAGGATATGCATATATGTCGCAGCCTAGCTTTAAATCGCAATATAACAGGCCAACTGCTATTTGAAGGACAGTCCCAACAGAATAAGATTCTAACCCTGCCCCTCTGGTAACTGTCAATGAAAAACAAATTGCCATCCATTTTTAGTCGAGGTCGGTCTGTTCCGGGGTTAGGTTGTTCTAGCGGCGTGAGTGCTGGCTTGTTTGTGGCAAATGTCACACATTTCTCTGAGAGAATCCCATGTTTGAGTCCTGTCAACACACCGGCACTCTGTCAACACAGCTCCCGGCTCTTGGTGCTTCTTCCTTTCCAGGGCATGCAGGAATGTTGACCCATTCTGTATTATCCTGGCTGCTTGTAACCTTGGCAATACCTTGTGAAGGCAGCCTGTTTTGAGGCTGTGAGCAAACATACAAGTTGTTACTAATCTCATAGAAACATCGGAAATATCTGTTGGTGCTTAGTCTTCCAAAGTACCAATCTGAGGTTGTTTTGGGTCTCTGTGGTGGGTGATTAAGTTGTTTGCTTCATGCGCTGAAGGGTTTGGGTTTTGATAGTGGGCTCTTTCCTCAGTGACTAGGCTGGTTTTTCAAGTTTAAATTTTCAAAGAATAAACTGTAAAGGTTTTTCAAGTCTAAAATTTCGAAGAATAAACTGTAAAGGTTTTTCAGGTCTAAACTTTGAAGAACGAACCATTTGATTTTTTTAAGTCTAAATTTTCAAAGAATAAATCATTAGGGCTTTTCAAGTCTAAACTTTCGAAGAATAAATTATTAGGACTTTCAAGTCTAAACTTTCGAAGAAAAAATCAGTAAGATTGTTTAGTCTGAATGATATAGACTGCTGGCCGAACATGGCTACACTGAATACATTATTAAGATTGTTCAATCCAGATAAATATTCTGCCAGATAAACTGAGATCTGAATCATTTTATGTAACATAATTGTACCCTTAACCGTGATTGAATCCTCAAGCCTGATTATATTCTACCCTGATTTTATACTCAACTATAATAGTATCTTCAGTCGTAATAGTATCCTCAATCTTGACTGTATCCTTAACTTTGATAGTATTCTGAACCCTGCTTGGGTCCTAAACCGTGATTATGTGCCTAATCATGTTTGTATCCATGATTGAATCCTCAACCCTTATTATATCATAAACTCTGATAGTATCTTGAGATCTGATTGTATTCTCAAATATGAATAGTATCCTGAACCAGAATAGTATCATAAACAATGATAGTATCCTTATATGTGTTTTTATTTCAATAGGACACATATATTCGAGCTTGTTTTTATTTCCAAAGCTGATTTAGATGAAGTCAGTCTTTGGGGAGGAACGGTATACATTAAACACACATGAGATAAACATCACTATTGAAGGAGTAATCACTGAAAGTCTATGCATGCAGTCTGTCATACATAGGACAACATAATCGCTGGGAGTAGTCTTTGAGTTACAGCACATCAGCCACACACTAGGACAACATAATCGCTGGGAGTAGTCGTTGAGTTACAGCACATCAGCCACACACTAGGACAACATAATCGCTGGGAGTAGTCGTTGAGTTACAGCACATCAGCCACACACTAGGACAACATAATCGCTGGGAGTAGTTGAGTTACAGCACATCAGCCACACACTAGGACAACATAATCGCTGGGAGTAGTCGTTGAGTTACAGCACATCAGCCACACACTAGGACAACATAAGTAGCCAGAATAATCCACTAGTGTACGTTGGTCCGTAAGCCTTGCAAGACAGCAATGAAGCAGTTGGTAGATAACTAAGGGAGTTAGACACATTGATTTTCTGTTGACTTGTGTAGGGATCTGATACTTGTAGACCTGTTTGTACTCTTGAAATAGTCTTGTCTTTTATGTTATATATCCTGGATCATCATGTCACTTGATTCAGTGTTGTGAATATTTAATTGATAAAGCTACTGTTATTTATTTCTGTCGTTGAATTGTTGTTCCTGCGTTGTAATGTACTGTGTTTGGTACATTTGTGTTGTGACAGTAGCCTTGTTAAGTGAATAAAGTACTGTTGTAAATATAAGCATGTCAAGTACTGTTGTGAAGGCACTGTGTGTGCTTGGTTGGGGGCTGATATATGTTTGTGCTGGCACAGTCCTGTGAAGGTCTATGCGGTAAAGTATTGTAGACATGTGATATGTTTGTGCTGGCACAGTCCTGTGAAGGTCTATGCGGTAAAGTATTGTAGACCTGTGCAGGTTGATGTGTTGAAATAAACGTTGCAGATGTTTGACATTACACTGTGTGGTTTCAGCTTTTATTATGTGAAAACATTATATGGTTATATTCATCATCATCAGCATCCTGTTGTGCAGTTACCTGACACAGGGCTCACACTCTACCTCTCCACTCCATTCTATTTAGTCAAATCAGTTCACTTCTTCTTCTTCTGCGTTCGACATCAGTCATGCTAGACATTGAGTCCCGTCTGGGTCACAAATAGGATTGTGCGTTTAAGGTCGCCACCGGTCCCCCATAGCTTCTCTTTCAATGTGGCTCCCTTGGGCCAGATCAACAGTCTTTGCTGGGAGAGGTTAGGGCAGTACTGTAGTATGTGCCCAGGGGTCTGTCTTTCTGCTCCACAATCACAGGCAGCAGATTCTTTTATGCCTATCCTGTACAGGTGTGCTCGAAGACCACAGTGTCCAGTCCGAAGTCTAAAAATTGTTGTTTGTTCTTTCCTGTTGAGTTTGTTTATGCTGTCACTCTCTGGTCTGTAATCTCCATTCTGCCTTCTCCACTCCCGCTTGAAAGACTGATTTAGCGCTGTTTTGGTTTCCTTGTAGCTGTGTGGTGGAGGAGGTTGTGGAAGATTACTCCCAGCTTTTGCCAACTCATCTGCTCTCTCATTTCCTTGAATACCACAGTGGGCTGGTATCCACTGCAAGACCAGTTCTGCTTCCTTGGAGAGTAAGCCAATGTTGGTCCTTAGATCTGCAATTAGTTTGTCTTGTTTTTTGCTTGATAGTGCTTGGAGAACAGACAATGAGTCACTAAGTATAACAATTTTGTGCCTTCTGTGTTCTTGATTGACGAGTTGTTGGACTGCAGAAAGGAGGGCAGTTGCCTCAGCTTTGAAGTTAGTGCAGATGTCACCTGCTGGTAGAGAGAGAGAGAGAGAGAGAGAGAGAGAGAGAGAGAGAGAGAGAGAGAGAGTTTCTGCTCTATTGCTAGGGGGTTTAATGTGTATTCCACAACCCCCTTTCTGACTGCTTCTGTAGCAGAGCCGTCGGTGAAAACCTGAGTCCAAGTGGTGTTTGAGGATACTTCTCATCAAGAATAGCAAGAGCCGGGGTTATCTGTTGTGTCTCCGTCTGGGCATCTTTTGAAGTGATCCCTGGTACCGTTAGGACTACATTTTCCTTCTCTGGCTTGCTTGTCCATGGTTTGGCCTAAGTTTTTCACACAGTGCTACATCTCTTTCAAACAGATCTCGGTGTTGTCTGTACAGTTCTCTAGCAAGGTGGTTGGGGCTCTGACGTTTCAGTCTGTTTTTTGTTCTCTCTTGAAATTTAAAATGCAGTGGATGACTTTCAAGTCTTTTTAATTTCTCATACTGTAAAAGAGTTTTGTATTGTCTTCTGAGTTCGAGTGGTTCAGTATCTGCTATCCTCTCTATCTCTCTGATGGGGGTGGTTTTCATGGCTCCGAGAACAATCTTTAATCCCATATTCTGAACCTTGTCCAGTTTTCCCATTGTTGTCTTGGCTGCTGCAGCCCATGCAGTGGAGGCATATTCCATGACTGGCCTGACTGCTCCAGTATATACTTGTTTTAGGATTCTGGAGTTGGCGCCCCATGTGGTACCCGCTAATTTTTTCATCACTGCAAGCTTCTTGAAGGCTTTCCCCGTACTGCTTCTACGTGTGACTTCCAAGTTAGTCGTGAATAATCAGTTCACTGTTATGGATGGAATTCGGTCCAGCCCATTTGGTCTCTCTCATAAAAAATTTTTTCGGGCACTCTCACGTCATTTGTCTCTTTATTTCCCATTTTAGTGCCTGTTTGATGATTATCTGATTGTTTCTTTTCAGGATGTGTCCAATATATTGCCATCTTCTCTGTTTTATAACTCCTAATACTAGTATATGATTACATTATGTTACACGTTTTAACATATGGTCATGTTTTCTTTTCCCCAGAGTGACAGCAATTCTCGGAGGTTGGGCATCCTACTCCAAGCTGACATCCAGCCATGACGATGACTGGGTGGATCGGCTCAACCACTTGTACACCGTCATTGTCTTGGTGATATTTGCAGTCTTCATCAGCACCAGCCAGTTTGCTGGCAACCCCATCGAATGCTGGTGCCCCGCCCATTTCACCGGCTCCTTTGTGGCCTATACAAAGTCCTTCTGTTGGGTGAAGAACACCTACTATATTCCCATGGATACCCCGATTCCGGTGGAAAAGGAGAACAGGAACACCGAGGAGCTCACCTACTACCAGTGGGTGCCAATCATTCTCCTCTTCATGGCTTTTCTATTCAAGTTTCCAGCTCTGATCTGGAGGATGTTGAACGGAGGGTCTGGCATCAATGTGGATAAAATTGTGACCCTGACTGATGCTACCCAGATTGGATCATCCGAGAAGAGAGAGGAGATGGTTGGACATATTGCTTTCTACATGGACAGATGGCTGGAGGCACACCGACAGTATCGGTGGAATATCCTGGTTCGCTTGCGTCAAAAAGCGTCTAGGTTCATGTGCTTCTTCTGTGCAAAGAGAGATGGCACTTATCTAACAGGGCTGTACATCTTTGTGAAAATCATGTACGTTGTCAATGTGGTCACCCAGTTCTTCCTGCTCAATGCTTTCATGGGAGAGTGGTACAACATGTATGGTTTCGAAGTCCTCTCCGGCTTGGCAAATGATCACTACTGGAGAGAGTCTCCCAGGTTTCCCAGAATCACTCTTTGCGATTTCGAGATCCGCCAGCTTCAGAACATCCAGACCCACACGGTGCAGTGTGTGTTGCCAATCAACATGTTCAACGAAAAGATCTTTATCTTTCTCTGGTTTTGGTTCGTCTTTGTTGCCACCTGTACCTGCGGCAACTTCCTGTTCTGGATCTGGCGTGCGTTGTTCCTCTCCAGCCGTGTGAGCTACGTCAAGAAGTACATGAAACTCCTCGATCAGATCCACGGAGAAGAAGATAAGAAGCTGGTTCATCGGTTCGCTGACCAGTACCTCAGAGATGACGGCGTGTTCATCCTGCGACTGATTGCCCGCAACACCAATGACATCCTGCTGTCCGACATTATACGCAAGTTGTGGAACGTGTACAAGGACAAGCCCATCGTTAAGAAAAGTCGGGAAGCTGATAACGAAAATTATGGCGCTGATTCTCAGGCTTAACATTGGAGAAGCTCGTAACTCAGCCTTCTAACTTGTTAACATTAGAGAAGCTCGTAACTCAGCCATTCTAACTTGTTAACATTAGAGAAGCTTGTAACTCAGCCATTCTAACTAGTTAACATTAGAGAAGCTCGTAACTTAGCCATTCTAACTTGTTCAAATGGAGAAAATGTTATAATATTTAACTAATATTTAAAAGATTCTTGGAGTCCTCAAATAATAAGGCATAAAGAAAAATTATGGGGTGCAGTTTTCCTTTTTTTTTTTTTTTTAGAGCTAATTGGTTTTTATCAACTTTTTTAGTATATTTATGTAGTGAAATATAACAGTTTTGTTTTTGTTTGGCCAGTCATATGTATCAGCATTATGGTTTAGTCAATCAGATGTGTCAGCATTATAATTAAGCCAGTCAAATATGTCAACATTTGGTCTAGCCAATCAGATGTGGTGTCAGCATTATAATTAAGCCAGTCAGATATGTCAACATTTTGTCTAGCCAATCAGATGTGTCATCATTATAGTTTTGTCAATCATATCTATCAGAATTATAATTAAGCTAGTCAACGTGTAACATTACAGGTTAACCAGTCAGATGTATAATAGTTTGGTTTAACCAACCATATATATCATTATAATAATGAATGGTTTAGCTAATCAAAAGTGTCAAAAATGTTGTTTAGCCAATCAGAAGTGATGGTGTTTTTGATGAAGAAAACTGACAGCTTTGAAGTTGTCTTGAGATGCAGTGTTTATGATAGATTGCCAGAAATAGCCAATGAGAACATTCAATTCTACTTGATTGTCTAATAGACACCCTATGAAGGAAACTAAAACTAAAACCGTTTGTGACAGTGGTTTTGATTAGGCAAACAGTGGAAACAGATCTGAGGTGTGTGAGATGTACAAGGTAGCCAGCTATTGTATGTGTTTCTCATTGTCGTATAGATTGGATGCTGGATGATTGGACTGGTAGCTGAATTATTGCTTCACAGACGAACATGATGATAGTAAGGCTACAGATGATGGAAACTGTGAGGGTGTCAACAAACAGATGATTATCTTTACAACTTGTGTGTCCAGCATAAACAGTTGTAAACTGTTCAACTGTTATAGAGAAAACTGTTCAACAAAACAGTTGTAGATAAAACTGTCCAGCCTAAACAGTTGTAGAGAAAACTGTCCAACATAAACAGTTGTAGAGAAAACTGTCCAACATAAACAGTTGTAGAGAAAAATGTCCAACATAAACAGTTGTAGAGGAAACTGTCCAACATAAACAGTTATAGAAAGTTTAGCATAGAAAATAAAGTTATTTAGAAAGTTGTATCCAAAATATAATGCTTTAAGATCTTCAACAATTTATTGAAATAGACAAATCATTATCAACCGTTTATCAAATTGATAACAAAAACGTAATCATTAGCAGTTGATTCCTTTGAAAGCGAATTATCAGAAAAGACATGGTGAACATTCAACAGGATGTTAGATGTAAATAACAGAAGTAGAGAACAAGAACAACCATTCCTCAGAATATCCGTGTGTGTAAGAAAGTGAGGAGGCAGAGAAAATGTGTGTGACTAAATAGCTGTATTCCTAAGCCATGCTTAATTATTTTACTTGTTGCTGTATGGACGTGCAGATGTTCAGTCATTGAGATAAATCAAATTTGTACAGTAATGTCCTTTTTGATATGCCACAGTGACATATTTCATGTATGTTTATGTTTTAGGGTAATACGTTTGAATAGTCAGATTTTGTTGTTTTAATGTACCCAATGGAAACAATGTCTGAGAAGGGATGTAGTGGTGACTAGAAGAGGTATAATCAGTCGTGACTAGAAGAAATATAATCAGGGGTGACTAGAAGAGATATAATCAGGGGTGACTAGAAGAGATATAATCAGGGATGACTAGAGGAGATATAATCAGGGGTGACTAGAAGAGATATAATCAGGGGTGACTAGAAGAGATAGAATCAGGAGTGACTAGAAGAGATAGAATCAGGGGTGACTAGAAGAGATAGAATCAGGGGTGACTAGAAGAGATAGAATCAGGGGTGACTAGAAGAGATAGAATCAGGGGTGACTAGAAGAGATATAATCAGGGATGACTAGAGGAGATATAATCAGGGGTGACTAGAAGAGATATAATCAGGGGTGACTAGAAGAGATATAATCAGGGTTGACTAGAAGCGGTATAATCAGGCGTGACTAGAAGAGATATAATCAGGGGTGACTAGAAGAGATATAATCAGGGGTGACTAGAAGAGATATAATCAGGGGTGACTAGAAGAGATAGAATCAGGGGTGACTAGAAGAGATATAATCAGGGGTGACTAGAAGAGATATAATCAGGGGTGACTAGAAGAGATAGAATCAGGGGTGACTAGAAGAAATATAATCAGGGGTGACTAGAAGAGATATAATCAGGGGTGACTAGAAGAGATATAATCAGGGGTCACTAGAAGAGATAGAATCAGGGGGTGACTAGAAGAGATATAATCAGGGGTGACTAGAGGAGATATAATCAGGGGTGACTAGAAGAGATAGAATCAGGGGTGACTAGAAGAAATATAATCAGGGGTGACTAGAAGAGATATAATCAGGGGTGACTAGAAGAGATATAATCAGGGGTCACTAGAAGAGATAGAATCAGGGGGTGACTAGAAGAGATATAATCAGGGGTGACTAGAGGAGATATAATCAAGGGTGACTAGAAGAGATATAATCAGGGGTGACTAGAAGAGATAGAATCAGGGGTGACTAGAAGAGATAGAATCAGGGGTGACTAGAAGAGATAGAATCAGGGGTGACTAGAGGAGATAAAATCAGGGGTGACTAGAGGAGATATAATCAGGGGTGACTAGAGGAGATATAATCAGGGGTGACTAGATTAGATATAATCAGGGATGACTAGAAGAGATATAATCAGGGGTGACTAGAGGAGATATAATCAGGGGTGACTAGAGGAGATATAATCAGGGATGACTAGAAGAGATATAATCAGGGGTGACTAGAGGAGATATAATCAGGGGTGACTAGAGGAGATATAATCAGGGGTGACTAGAAGAAATATAATCAGGGGTGACTAGAAGAGATATAATCAGGGGTGACTAGAGGAGATATAATCAGGGCTAATGTCATAAGAGACAGTATCGCCAAAGAATCCTGAGTTACATACAAAGACAGCAGATAAATCGGTTTGCCAGCTTAGAGAGGACACTGTCTGGTGCTGTACAAAACAGGACACACAGCAAAAGATGAGAGGGACATAGAGCATGAAATAGACTATGAATAAGATGGAAAGATGCCAGAGAAACTCTAAAGCAGCACAGTGAATCTATAGTCAGGGTGACCTGAACAGCAAAAAGCAGAACCTTATATCTCCCTGGACACATGAGGCTGTAAAAGAACGAACAAACTTTATTTTCAAAGGGTCAAAAAGTAGGCATGCAGGCCTGTCTTACATTCAGCCCTTTCCAACTCCCATCTTTCACACAGCAAGCAGTTGTATTTTATCAATAAAGCATGTTATGTTCATGGAGGAAGAAGAAGAAGAATATTCCAGGTGGTGTTATATACATAATATATTTTATTAGCCAACATGTTAATGCTGTTTGTTTTTGTTTCTGTAAATGTAATGTTTATTCTCATATAAACCTGACGTAAGGTTTACAGTTAAGAGAGTCAGCTTCATTGTTTTATCCCATGTAGCTTTGTCTCTCTGCATTGCCAGTCTAGTGTGTCACACAAAGCTCAGACTCTTTAGCAGCAGCAACAATCCCCAGGGATGACTAGAAAGTGCACACATGAGTTGACACAGTCTCTGGAATGAACCCACTACTATCAGAACACAAGACAAACATCTCAACCACTAAGCCATGAAAACTCTCGCCTGGTTTCAAGATCATTGGTTGCAGTGTTAACCATACAAGCTTCTTACCTGAGTGAGACAAGACCCTTTAGGAGCAGGTGAACAATGCAGATAGGTCATTGCAGTCTAGAAAGAAGGGGGAATCCAGAAGACTCAGCAAAAAGACAAGACAGATGTTTAATAAAACTTACTTCTGTCAACTGTCAGAATTGAAATCCTTCCCTGGCTCTGAAGATGAGGACAGAGCCCATATAGGAGGGACTTGAGTGTTGTTTGTATGCCTTAGACAAATGAACGTATGGAGAAACTACAGATCGTGTGTATGTTCTTGCACTAATGAACATAAGGAACACTGGTACAAATTATGTGTATCTTTTTGCACAAATGAATATACAGATAGGCTATACAAATAAATTGCTTGTTTGTCCTTGCACAAATGAACATATAGAACAGCCATACAAAATTATGTGTATGTTTTTGCACAAATGAATATTCAGATAGGCTGTACAAATTGCTTATGTGTCCTTGCACAAACTTATGGAAATGCCATAGAAATTGCTTGTATGTTTTCGCACAAATGGGAAAGCCATACACATTGCTTGTATGTCCTTGCACATAATAAACATATGGGAAGCACATACAAATAATGGCTTCCTGTAAAAGTTGACAGATGTGCACATGTTGTCTCCCTGTAAAACCAGATTAATTTGTATGAAGTTCGGTATGGACCAGGTAACTTATCAAACAGAGATTGGCTAGAATTGATCGGATACTGTAATCACATAGAGATTGGTCAGAGTTGATCAGGTATCTTAATCAAGTGGAGATTGGCTAAAGTTGATCAGGTATCTCAATCAAGTAGAGATTGGCTAGAGTTGATCAGGTATTTTAATCAAGTAGTGATTGTTGGCTAGAGTTGATCAGATACCTTAATCAGGTAGAGATTGGCTACGGTTGAGTTGCAAATTTTAAAGATGCCTATGCATTTTCTCTGTGTTTTTTCTTCTGATGTATATTTCTGTATTATTAAATCTCGATGATGTAAATGTCATTGATTAGCTTTCTTTACATGAAAGAACAA